CTAATTTATTAATATGATTTTCAGTTATTAAATTTATTTTAATTAATTACTGCTACTTTCTGTAAATTAACAGATCAATTATTAAGATTTTATTCTGATGGATTTAAGAAGTATTTAGAATTTTTAAAAAGTGTTCGCATTACATGTCAATCTGATATCATTATAAGAATATACATTGTAGAACTTAATAAAAAGAATATTTCTAATATTTAATTTACCACAAAAATATTCTATTTTATTTTTCTTTTATTTTTAAAAATAGTATTTTAATTTTAATCATACAATATTTAAGAAAAATAATTTTTATTTCACTTAAATATATTTTTAACCTTATTTTAGAAAAAACATTTATTTTAAATCAGTAAATTATTTATTTAAAATTAATGTTTTAGTTTTATTATTAAATTAATATCATTTGATTGTAGTAAATAATTTAATAATTTAAATAAATAGAATATTTTTTGTAAATAAATAAGAAATTTATATAATGTCATGTATTCTTTACATATTTGAAAAATTAAAACAACTTATTTTTACAAAATAAAAATATTTAAAAAATAAAAAACATTTAATAAATGAATGGATGATTAAATTATTTTTTAACATCTAAGCTTTATCTTTATGATACTATAATAAAAGTAGTTTATTATTTTTAAAGTTAGTATCTGTAATATACTAATAAAACAACACAAAAATTATTTAAAAATAGTGTTACAGGTATTAGTGTTCAGTAAATTTATTTCACTGAAATAAAAAAATTTATTTACAAGCATTCTTTATTTAATTATACTTTTAAGATTCTTTTGATTTAACCAATATTGAAATAACTGCTCTCTATGCTTGTCATTATATTTGAATCAATATATTTTATAGAAGTAAATTTAAATATTTTCTTTGATAGTTTCTTGAATTGTAATTTTTCATGAGATTTCATTTGTTTATGTTCTTTTTCAAAAAATAATATTTGTAAGATTTTTTTGTTGCCTAAGGATTGGAAATTCATACGAAGATTTTTTCGTTATACCTTCCATACAAAGTATAATACTTGTAGGAGTTATACACTCAGATATTTGCTAGACCAACGCTGTATTCTATAAATGTATAAATCCTTAATAAAATTACGTTTTATGATAATAATTTTACAAAATTAACCAACTGTTGTGAAATTTTCAAATAATTTCTCATTTAAAAAGTGGCACAGGATAAAAGAGTTTTATTATTTTTTTACATTTATCTTTTATGCTATTATGTTAAGAGTAATAATAAGTTAAGTTTGTATTTTTTATTAATTTTTAATAAAATAAATATTATTTTATATTTTTCAATACAATTATTAATTAAAAAATATTATTTTATTAATCTTTTACAAAACTAGGAATACCTTCATTAATAAAATATTCTTCATTACATCCTTTACAATGTAACTCTCCTTCTCTATTACTTCATTACAAAACAGAAGCTTAATTAACTTAGCATTATCCTCTGATAAATTATTCATATCACTCTTATCAAGAAAAATCCATTACACTCTTTAAATATTTGATTAAGTTCATTTATCAGTTCTTTTGATGGGATTCTTGGTAATTTGTCTAAGTCATATTCTATTTTCTTTGATTTCTTTATTTTTAAAGATAAGTTTGTTAAGTTTGTACATTTGTTACATTTTAGTAATTCTAATAAAAATGGTTTCATGAGGATATTAAAAAATAATTAAAAAAATAAAATTAAAAATAAATAAATATTTAAGATTTTTTTGTGTGATACACAATAAAATACATTTATATGTTCTATTTTCAACTAAATTTATAAAATACTTAATTAATATTTAGTAAAATGCTAAATTTATTAAATATTATAAAAAATGTCAAAAAAATCATAAAAAAAATCAAATTTTTAAAAAAATCTTAAAATCTAAATTAAAAAAATGTCTTAATCTTCTAAAAATATAAATTAACAATCCAAGGATCATAAAAGAAAAATCTAAGAAAAAGAAAATTCATTTTTTATTAAAAATTAATAAAGTATGATCTTTAACTCCTTTTAAACAAATAAGAAAACATACCCCTCATGAAATACGTGCTATTCTTGGTGTTTCTTGGAAATCTCTTTACTTACGCAGCTATCTACTCGGTCCATAATTATATTTCACAGATACTTAAAAGTCAGACCAAATTGCCAAACAGATGTATTGCATTGCTTAATGCATACGACATTTCTAGGTTGGTGACTGCTTACTTCTTTGGTACGATAGGTGATAAGTTTAGGATAAGGTACCTTGTTGGTTTAACTTCACTTTCTTTTTATGTTCTTACCATGCGATACATCACTTATTACATCAAAGAAAGTAGTCTTAATTTTAAGACTGTTTTTATTGATTTTACCTTGAAAGCTTTTAACAGTGGAGTAATACCAATGGTAGAGGTTATGACTGTTAACATGGCAACTATACATAAAAGTAAGTGGTGTTATTCAATTTTAAGGTTGTCTCTCATTTTTGGAAGAACTTTTAGACACTTCGTGCCCAAAAAATACTTAGGTGATAATGATGTATCCAGATACAAATCATTATTATATTTTTCGTGTTGCGCAGTGCCTATGCTTTTACTTTTACATTTCTGTACGAGAGACATTGAAGAAAAGAGAGAAGAACAAAAGAAAGTTTCATTATTAATTAATTTGAGAGAGATTGTTTATTCACAATATTTCTTAATTCTTCTTTTTGCTGTTTTACAAGGAATTCACAGAACAAGCACGTCTTCTTTCCAAACCATTTATACTAGAATGGTTAGTAAAACAAAAAACGAATCATATGTTTATATTTTTAGGACACTTCCTGAACTTGCGGCTGACTTGATTTGTCCTATAATTGAAAAAAGATATGGTTGTATTAATTTAGTTTATATCGGAGCAGGGTTTGGTATTTCTAAAGCTCTGATTTACTCATTTTTGACTGAAAAAACAGTTTTTTTTATTTTATGTTGCAGAAATACCTAAAGCATTTTTTTTTTCTTGTTTCCTTTGTTATGGTGTGACAAGGCTTACCAAACATTACAACAGTATGGAAAGGATTGCCACTGCGCAAGCCTTGTACAATGGATGGTTTAATAGAGTAGCCCCTTGTGTGGCAGGAATGATTGGATATATTTTGTTACGCGATGAAACTGCAGAGAGTTTGAAGTTCCTTTTCTTAGTTACAGCATTTGTTGGAATAAGCGGGTATATCTTTGCGTTCTTTATTAAAAACAAAAAGATTTAATTAAAAGGAAGGTTAATCTAAAAATTTTAATATTCTAATTATTTTTTAAGTAAAAAAAATCATATTTTATTTAAGAAACTTATTAAAAAATTGTCTAAATTCATTCTTATCATACAAATTTTTACAAATTAATATTGAATTTTAATTTTTATGCTGCATTAAAGAATTCTTATACTTTTTTTTGTAAAATAATGATCATTTTTTTAATTAATTTTCTTTGCTTACCTGAAAGAACAAAATATTTAAGATCAGTTAGTAATAAAAAAAATAATTTTTAAAGAAAAAAACAGAAAATTTTAGGCATTTAATCATTTGTAATTAGTTATATGCACAATAAAAATACTAATTGAACAAAAGTAGTAAAGATGTATAAAAACCAAATTGAGAGGTTTAGTATTGTTTAAAATTTGTCACATAAAGTTAATAAGTTTTAATTTTAAAGATAATTTATTGCTGAATATTAATTATGTGGCCTAAGGATGGGAAGATCATACGAATATCTTTTGCTATATCTTTTTATATAAAATATTAATACCTATTCGCAAAGAAATATATAATAAATAAGTTTCTGTATAATTAGGTATTTCACAAGATACTGTGAGTTTTTTACCTACTAAGACCACTCCCGTATACTCTATAAATTGCTTGATTCTACCTTACCTTGCAAGCTTTGGCACCGGAATTTGTTGAGAAAAATAAGAAAACACGATTAACCCTTATCTTTCTATTTTCAGCATACAAAAAACTGGTAAAACATTTGGCTTATTTCAAAAATCTATTAATTAAATAATTCGCAAATGATTTTACAAAAGGATATTATACGTATAAACACACGAGTTTTAAATTTTATAACATTAAATTATTTGATTTTTAAAAAATAGAACAAAATACGAACTAAACTTGTTAAAAAGTTAAGGAAAGTTAGTAAAAAATAGTTGTTGACTTTTTACTAAAACTAAAAGCTTTACTTTGCCAAAACATAAAATCCCCCATATAAATTAAATATAGGGAAAAGGTATTTTTTAGAAAATTTAACAAATTTAAATTAAGAATATTTTAAGGTATGATAACATATTCTATTAACTTTAAAAAACACGACATTTATATTTTAAAATGTATATTTTCTAAAATTTTGGATTCGTTTTGTATTATAATTGTACAAATCATTCCTATAGAAACATTTTTTGTTATTCAAATTATGAAAGAGATTGTATATTCTGAAATTTTTTTCGAAAAAAAATTATTTTGTGTATAAAAGAGTTACTAAGCATATAAAAGTATAATATTATGTGAAATTACATGACCTTAGTAAGTTGCAATAAAAATATTTAATGTTTTTCGATTTAAGTAATAATAAATCAATTATAGATTTGAAAATTAGAGAGTATTTTTTAGAATTATTGTAAAAAACTTCTGCCTTCTAAAAAGTATAATTTTATAACAATGTCATATTTTAACTAATTTTTATAATTGTTTGATGAACAGACTTGAGTGTAAAATTAATTATTCATTTAAATCAACAAATTAAGAATTTTAATTCGTAATATCAAATGAAAATTTGATTTCAGATCTGTCTTGTATATAATTTTTTAATTCTATTAATTCTTTTAAAAATCATATTTTTTTATTTCTAAACAATAAATAATAATTGATATTCTTTCAAATGTATTTTAAAATCAACCATTCTTATTAAATAGAAAGTAGAGTATTTTATTTATAAATTTTTATCATTCAAAACATATAAGTGCTATTAGTGTAGTGGTTATCACATTCGCCTAACACGCGAAAGGTCCTCGGTTCAAACCCGAGATGGCACATTTTTTTTAATTTTTTTAAAATTAGAATAATTAATATTTTAATTATAAAATTCATCTTTTTTTATTAATTCTATTATTTCTATTTCAACTAATTTACCTGCCAAATTCTTCACAACAAGGTTAGAACACAGCTTTGTCAACCAACAAGCTCCTCTCTTTCTTCCAACAGAATAACAATACTCAACAAATAAACCATTTCCAATAACCTCATCTTCACTCAAAACCTTATCATTCATAACCACTGATCCTTTCTTTACTTCAAAAAAACAACAGTATTTATAATCCATCATCTCAAAATATTTTAATCTTTGTTTCTTGCTTAAAGGTCTTCTTTCATTTTTCATCATTTCTTCTTTTTTAGCTAATTTCTCAAAATTATGGTAATTTTTGTCAAATACATTTAAGTATTTTAAAATATCTTTTTCTAAAATTATTCTAAACATTTCATTAATTGAAATTAAACAAAAATTCTTTTTAAAAAGTATTTTTGTTAAGTTGTGATTTATGACACACAAATTTGTTTTTAAAATAGAAGGAGGTTAAAGTAAAATTGTTTGTTTTTTCTTTTTAACCAGTCATCCAACAAAATTTGTTTGTCTTTAAAAATTTGATCAACTGTCAAAATCTCCTTAGATTCTAAAATTTGTTCATCAATGCATAATCAGAACCATTTTTTATATCACTAAACCAAATAATTTCATCAAAAATACTTCTTTCCTTGTTAAAACACTCAAATATAAAATAATCTTTAACTTTGAACTCATAAAACAAAAATACTTTCTTGCTTTTATAAACAAACTTACTTGATTTTTTAATCTTCTTTTTATTGGTAAAGTATCTGTCACAAAGAACCTTTTACCAATATAGGTAGTTAAAAAGACTTTTCCCTTTGTTTTTCTTTTTTTTTGGTTTGTAACTCTGGGTTCTTCTTCGTAAGAAGAAAGGAAGTCTTTGGAATAACATTGTTTTTTCTTTTTTTGAAATGTTTTCTTCTAATAAGTTTATTTCTTTTGAACGTGCCTCTATAAATTCTATTGGATCTATTTCTTTTTGTCCATTCGTTTATAAAATAATATTATTTTAATTTAAAATATAAAAAATATTATTTTATTAATTTAATTAAAAATATAACAACATTTTAATAAAAAAATGATATTTGAATCGAGAAAAAAATGACAATGTTAATAAATTTAAAAAAGACAAGTTCTTAGGGTTAATTTTTAAAAATAAAAGGATAAATTTTTTTTAAATTTTTTAAGAACTAAAGTAAGACTAAGCATTATTTTTTATGCTAATAAGGTTAAAAGATACATCTTAAAAAAGTATTTTCAATTTTCTTCTAGGATTGATCCAAGATAGAAATGATAAAATATAAATTACATATTTAATTTATAATATTAAGATTTAATTTTAGATTAATAAAATTAGATATAAAGTTATTTGAAAAGGTTTTAGTTTTTATTTGAAAAGATATTAAAATATTGTTATTATGGATTAATATACTTAATAAAATAAACAAGGACAGAAAATAGGCCTTAAATTTACAAATGGGATTATTTTTTATATACCTTTTCCAAAAAAAATTTTATATTTTTTATTTAATCAAAATGTGTTTGCAAAATCTTATAGATAAAGAGTTTTAACAAAATTGTTTGCAAAAACTAAAATATGGTAAAACTTTCTAGTAAATAGACTATATGGTATATATTTTGGCTGGCGAAAGGCTTGTAGTATCTTTTATCTATACCTAGTTATGCAGAAACTCTGTAGATCAAGCCTGAAAGGTAAGGTAGACTTAGGCAGTCAATAGAGTGCACGGGGTGGTTTTAGCAGGTGAAAGGCTCGCAGTATCTTCGAGCTATACCTAAGTATGGAAAATATATTTTACCGTATGTTCCGGTCGATTAGGGATAAATATTCTTATAAAGAAGGTATAGCGAAAAGATCTTCGTATGGATTTCCCATCCCTAGGCAACTAAAAAAGTTATGCAGAAAACATATTAAACTATGTGTTTCTTATTGAATTAATATCTTATATTTAATATAGAAGTTATAGTAAGATATTTTCATGTACTTAATTATCATCAAACTACAACATAAGTTTTTATTAAATTTATTATTTTATAAATAATTTATTTTGTTAATTTTTAAATAGAAAAGATTAACAAAATTATGATCAACTTTTTTAATATTTATTTTTTTAGTTTAAAAATTAAGAATAAATTATTTGTAAATAATTAATTTTTCAAATAGAAAAATAAAGATTAAAAAAGTAAGTACTGCAATACCCCTATACTTTTTACAACTCAGGAATATTTTATCAGTTTAATAAACATATATTACCTTAATTTGATTCAATCATTATGTTAAACATTCATTTTATTTTTAAAAAAATAAAGTAAGGAAATATTACTTTTATATCTGAAAAAAAACAGTAATAAAAATATTGAAATATGATCATTTACAATGTTTGTTATTTAATTGAAAAATATTATTAATATTCATTGTAAAGATAAGTTTATATTAAGAACTTAATTATTTTTATTTTACAAAATTTAACTAAACAAATAAAATGAAAAAAAAAATAAGTATATTTAAAACATAATCAAAAATTATAAAAAAAATAATTAAAATTTTATTAAAAAAATAAAATTAAAATTTAATCAAAAATAAAATTATAATTTAATCAAAAATATCATTGAAAATAAAAAATATAATTAAATTGTTAAAAAAAATAATTAAATTGTTATTTAAATAAATTATTTATTTATTTTTTCTTCTTACCATCTTCTATATCTATTGTTAAAATTTCTCTTCTGTCTTGTCATATCAATTAACTCATTTGGTATTCTCTGCTCAGCTGTCCTAAGAATATTGCATAATTCACTGGCATTAGAAGAATCAGCAGAAGTAAAATACCTTTCTTCTCCCTTTTCTCCTCCTCTACCAGTCCTTCCTATCCTATGGACATAATCTTCTGGATTGTTGGGAAAATCATAGTTGATCACCAATTTAACATCCTTGACATCAATCCTCTTGCTGCTACGTCCAGTGGCTATCAAATTAAACACCTTCTGACCTAAAATCTGCTATGATCCTATCCCTAATATTCTGACTTTTATCACCATGGATAGCTGCACATTTAATTTGTTTTTCCCATAAATCTCTTTTCTAAATCATCAGCTGTTCTTTTCATGTTCACAAAAATAATTACTTTATTATTTTTTTGAATATTTAAATCATTTAATAAAAGATTCTTTTTTTTCGTAAGAGACAAAAAGTACATTTTGTGTGATATCCTTGTTACAATTTAAATCTTTACTTCCAATATTCACTTGGATATATAATTGTTAAGAAATATAGATGATCTTTAAATTATACACCTCTTTTGGCCATGTAGCACTCCACATAAGTGTTTGTCTCTTAGGATTGGATTGAATAATCTTTCTAAGTTGTGGTTCAAATCCCATGTCTAACATTCTGTCTGCTTCATCCAAAACTAAAAAAGTTACTCTGTTAAGTGGGCAGAACCCACTTTCGTGTAAATCTATTAGTCTTCCTGGAGTGGCTACTAAAATTCTACTCCTTTAAGCAATGCTTTTTTTGATTGTCAGCTGAGACTCCTCCATACTGCTATGGCATTAAGATTAAAAATTCTGGCGTATGGCTGTGCTTCTTGTAAAATTTGTAAGCAAAGCTCTTTGTTGGTGCTAAAATTAAAATAATTGGTCCATCATTTTTTCTAAAGAGGAATTTGTTTGGATGCATGAATTAATCTGGCAAAACAAAAGAAATAGTTTTTACCAGAACCTGTCTGTGCAATACCAACCATATCCCTACCTTTCAAAGCCATAGGCCATCCTTGTGCTTGGATTGGTGTTGGTTCATTGTACCCCTTACTGGTAAATTCATTAAAAACTTTGCTGTTAAAAACTTCTGACAGGTCATTAAAATCTCTGACAGGTTTTGGAACATCCTTTCCTTCAACACTCATTTGACACTTTGCTCTGAAAAATTTAACTTCTTCATCTGTCATGTTTTTGAAATATTCTCTTTTCTCTTTGTAAAAATCTTTTTTAAACTCAACAGGTTCATTTTCCTGTTCGATAGGTTTAATCCCAACTACCGTTCCTAGTAAACTGTCTCTTACGAGAATCTCTTGGTTGTTGTCTTCTGTTATCTCTAAAACTGTCTCTTGGCTTGTTTCTCAGAGTCGTTACCCCAATTGTCTGACATATGAGGGTTAAAAAATTTTTTATTATTAAATATTATTTATTAAAATTAAATGGTTTAAATTAGTTTTCTTTTTTTTATTGGTTTTTATAAAATAAATAAAAAATTTTTAAATTTAATTTATGTAAAAATGCAAAAGATTATTTTTTATAAATTTATTGTATTTTTAATTTGTTTAATAGAGAAATATAAAATAATTTAATTAAAAACAGAAATTTAATATTATTTTTAAATGAACATACTAACATAATTATTTCGAATTTATAATCTTATGATTTAATTTTGAATATTTTATTTATTTAATAATTATATTTAATTATAAATCTTTTTGTAATAAAATATTAAATTTAATTTTAAATTATTAAAAAATGATTTTAAAATATGTATTTAAAGTAAATATAATTACTTTTACATTATTTAAATTTATTTGATTAATTATAAATATTTGTAAAATAATAAATTAAAATGATTTTGATTCATGTACAAATTATGTTATTAAAAATTAATATTTTATAAAGAATGCCTAAAAAATTATAAACATTTTAAATATTTTTATAATAAAACTAAAAAATTAATTATTTTTTATATTTACTTCTAAGTGTAAATATTATTTCAAAGAAAATTAAAGCTAAGATTAAATATAATATTAAATAATATTTTTACATTTAAATAATAATCTAAATAAAATCATTATTTTTATCGAATTAGTTTAAAACTTAAATATAAATTATATCTCTTATTAAGAAAATAAATTGTTAGTTTTAAAC